CACTCCAGCCTGGGTAACAAGAGTGAAACTCCGTCTCCAAAAAAAAGAATGATAAAGTAAATATGGCAAAATGCTAATAATTGGTAAATATAGGTGAAGAATAAATGGGTGTTTATTGTATCATTGTATCCATTGTTTGTATCAATGAGCCATCTCCAAACTTAAAAAGTCATAGTGATAACGTTTCTGATTACTATGATGATGATAATGATGAGGGAAAAGGAGAATAGAAATGGGAAGGAGAGAAAGCACGTCACATCCAATTTACACAAAGGAAATTATTTTATACTATAATTTTTACACTGAAAAACACTATGAACTACATTGTACCATTCCCAGAAATTGTCATATCAACTTTGAAAGCATTAAACATGCAGATTATGGATGTTCTGGTACTCAGAAAGCAACCCTTCCTTTTTAGTTCATCAGCAAATATTTCCTTAGTATGTGCTCTCTGCCTGGCTTATTTTGAAACATAGTGCATTTCTTCCAGCTCTAATATTCTATGGTACTGTGACACTGAGAGTCTAAATACAATAGCTACTGTAGCTCAAGGCCAAGTGACATTGGTTGCTGTCAGCTGGGCATTTCTTAAGCATCAACTTAGTAGCTTCGCTCCTGGATTTGAACGTGAAGATTAGTGAGGCACCAAACACAAAGACACAATAAACATCCCAGAGACTATTGCCAGTAGGAAAAATGAAGGAGCTGCTTTAATACATTTTCCTGACCATTATTTCTCTTGAAATTGCTTTCAAAACCCTTTATTTTGCATGGATAGTTCAGGAATCTTCATCCTAACAGCTACCTTTCATTCAGCACCTACTATGGGCCAGGCATTGTAAATAGGTACTTAATTTACTTTATCCACAATGCTTACAACAACCCATTTGCCCCATGGTCCCACAGCTGCTAAGTGGCAGAAGTGGATTTAGAACAGAGCTCTCTGTTCCTTTAAAGCTTGGAGCCTTCCCTTTGCCCTGTGTTACTAAAACTCTGATTACAGAGAGGGAGTCAGGATAGTGTGGATGGATTGTTTGCCTTCCTGGTCCACCAGACTTAGACCCTCTCTGCCAAATTAAAAAGGACAAATAAAATATATTCTTTTTAATGCCCCAATATTATCATTTGTTAAATGGTACTACAATTAAACATTTGCCTCCCCAAGTTCTTTCCCACAACTTTTTGAGGGTAAGGAAACTGTTTTGTTCCTCTTTATAGTCTCAATGCCTGACACATAAGTACTCCTTAAATGTTATTTGAACTAAATTATTAATGGGCCAAAGGAAAAACTGTTATAGTAATGGAAATCAAAGCATTTTCTTACATGTTTTCTATGGTACTGCTTTTCTTCATGAAAGTAGTTTTCTGATTACTTTGTCATTTCATCTCTTCCAAATTGGTTGATATACTGAACCCAGTTCTCACTCTTTTGGCCTGTACTTAATTGAGCTCAGTAAAATAATCATAAATCTGAGTCTGGAGTCCATTTATCTGTGACTATTATGTAATCAGATTTATATAGCCCAAATTTAGTAGCACTTCCAAACTATTAAGAGTTTGCTTATTTATTGTCATAAAAGCAGCAGAAAATTTTTTTGTTGAAATCTTATGTCAGAGAAAAGATTATTTAAAAATTACTAGTTTTCTTGTTGAAAGCTACTGTGGTAGTACCCACAGCCTGAAGATTCTCTTGTGATATTCTTTTTATCATCTCCTTTCTCACATTCAGTCTAGAGCTTAAAGTGGGAATTTTTTTAAGTGTGTTTTCCTGGCATCTCATGTTTAACAGTGTCAGGGGTTTATGTCCCTGGAACGAAAACTGTTTCTCCAGAGTCTTTTTTCTCTCAGCTTCTGGTGAAAAGAGGGGCGAGTCGAGCCAGTCGCTTACCACAAAGCAGTGCCACCACAAAGGAAAGATTAAGGGTTTAGAGAGAGGTCAATGTGGGTTTTTCTCTAACTAAACACTTTCCTAAAGTTTCCTTGTGGAAAAATAATGAAGTCATCTCAGAGTTTTTAAAGAATTTTTATTTCTTTTTCACCGTCTGCATTCGCTTGTCTTCTCAGCATGGATGTTTAATCTTCCTAGGCTTTGTGAATTGGCCCAAATGAATAAGTGGTGAGCTGTCTCTCTAGGAGCTAGAGGCTTATTCTAAGGGCCTAATCACTGAGTAAACACATCTTTGCCCTCCCTCTCACAACTGCGATATAATAGTCGAGATTCTAGCACAGTAACCTGGATATTGCAGGGACCAATGCTTTGAAATGCAGAATGGTTGATCCTCCAAAACAGACAGTGCCTGATCTTCGCCTGCCTCTTTCTTCTTTTTTAAATTAAATATTGCCAAAGAGATGCTGTTTTATTGCTTGATATTGTGCATTAGTGCCCTGGATTTCCAAGTTTAGTTTCAGTCAACACTGTCGGGTGCACTTATAGGGAACTCTGCATGTTGGGTTTCTTAGTAGCCTCTCGGCACATGTGTTTAGTTTGGAAGAGCATTTAAATTAAATCAGTAAGATAGCAATGTAAATCACTAATCTCTTTCCCAAAGTCTAAATGTTTCATTGCAGTGTTCTTGAGAGAAACAGGCATTTTAAAGATTTAGCCATTGCCATTGTTTAGTTAGAAATATGCTGATTTTAAAGTGGACAGCTCTCTTGTTCCCAGTGTCTCATTAAATGTAGTTGCTGAGATACGATCAAGTTGAAAGAGAGGTTGACATCCCTCTGTCTATTCAGTTAGAGAACTCCTAAGAAGAGGAGCTCTGAATTTGTTAATGGTGCCAGGTTCCCGATACTTTCCCTAAAGCAGCAGAATTCTTGATTCACTTACTAAAACTGATTTTGCATTGCCACTGCTATTGGGTATCTTTTTTGCCAAGGAACTGTGGCTTATATCGGTGTTGTTTCTTTCATCGAACAGGCTGGGACCCATGCTAGTTTAAAGATGCAAAGAAGACTTAAAGAGACCTCATCCTCTCCCTTGAGGAAGTTAATCTAGAGGGGAAACTGGTAAACAATTACAATACTAATGGAAAGAGATAGAGGCCCAGCAAAGGAAGCTCTTAACTCTGCCTGACAATCAAGGAAGGTTTCATAGAGGCATTTGTTTTGAGCCTTATAGGATGAGTAGGAATTTACTAGATAAGTATCTCCCTAAGAATGTATCTGATTACAAACCTCCTAGAAGCCTGATACTGTTCTTTGCAGACATCAACATCGATGAAGAAACCCTGAGTCTTTCTTGTTCACCATTTTATTGCCACTGCTTCCTGCTGAGCCTGACACAAAGAGTATTTCAACAAATGCTTGTTGAATGAATGAATAAATGAATTAACACACAGAAGCAGGGTGGGATCAGCTGAGCTACTTATACCCAGGAGTCCTGCCCTTATTCCCATTACAAGCTGTCTCTGAGTCTCAGTTCAAAGCAGTCTGGCATCTTCATGTTACATGAGTGCCCCCACAAGCCTTGACTACAGTGTGGTTGATTTCCCTGCTACCACTGTAGTTATCAGAGAAAAAACACAGACTTGGACTTGGAGTTAGACAATCTAGGAGCCAGTCCTCATTGTATTACCTACTAACTAGCTGTGAAATTTGGGACAAGTCCATTTTCTAAACCTCAGTTTCCTCATATTGTAATGGGGTTAAGGATGCTATTTTAAAGATTTATTCTGGAAATTAAGGTACATAATGGTTGTGAAAGTAACAGTGTCTCCTATTCATAGTAGATGCTTTTAGAATCTTAATCTACCTAACTGTGGCTACCCTCATCTAGTATAAAATTTACCTTTGAAGAAAATAATTTTAATGATAATTACTATTACTATTACTTGGATTCTTTATCAACGTAATTCCTAACATCAGATTTCATTAGCCTTTCATCAGCATGAACCTTATATTTTTCTGTAAGTATCCTTTTTTTGTTCAGAATCCCACACAGCAAATTTTCATTTGCTGTCATCACATTCTTATTTAACATGAAGGGAAAGATACTAAGCTTCCTTGAAATTTTCTTTTGGCAGAATTTCACAGTTTGGTTTGTATATTGTCTTAGTATTCTTAAACTCAGCTCTTCTTTGAGGTAATACCAAGAAGTTAGTCAACAATTTGAGCTCTTTAATCATTATAGTCATTGTTGGTAAAGCTAACATGTTGTAAGCCATATATGGCTACTTACACCCATTATTTCTATTATACTTATTATCTTGTTCAATTTCAGTTTTTAGTTTTAATTATTGTATTGAGTATCCAACTATAACAGAGGGCACATTTAAGAGACCAAAAGTCATTTCTTGAAAGCAACTTTTATTATGGCAAAAGGGAAAGAATAATTTTCCATATGAAAAGCCACAGTGGACATTTTCTGAAATACAAACTAGAAAGAATGCATATTAACTGAATATTTTTCCATCTTTTCATATGGCAATTAGATGTTACATGCTGTTAAATAAGGGCTTAATGTGGGAATACATTAAGGACTTTAAAATTATCTGTAGAACAAAAACAAAACTTCATTTCAGACCTTTTCCCTTCAAATAGAAGATACTTTCCATTGTTCAGATTAAAACCATAAAAAATATGTAAGACAAATTTTGTCATTCTGTTTTAATGAATATTTTTTCTCTATATTGTTGAATAGTTCAAAGTTAATGTTTCTCTTTACATATAAAAAGAAAAAGATGGTAAATTTATTTTCTTTAAGGAGAATACAATTCTATTACAACTTCATTTGAGATAGGCTTGCACGTTAACAGAAATGTGCAATAACAGTCTGCAAAATTAGATATAATCATCCTGGCCTTTTTAAAGTGTAAGGAAGCAAAATTTTCTGATATTTTAGATGCTTTAGGAACTCCAAAATGTAAAGTACTCTTTTAGGGAATAATTTAATTTTTGTCTTTGCTGTTCATATGGACTAATTATGCCTCTCTAAAATTTAAGAAATCTTACGTTAGTGGATATTTTAATTGATCAGATTTTTCTCCTCTTTTTAGAGAAAGCTTCTTGCTATCTACCTCCACCATGATGAAAGTGTATTAACCAACGTGTTCTGCTCACAAATGCTTTGTGCTGAATCCATTGTTTCTTATTTGAGTCAAAATTTTATAACCTGGGCTTGGGATCTGACAAAGGACTCCAACAGAGCAAGGTAATACTGTTGTTCACAAGTTATTTTAGGCTTCTATTTAAGAAAAAAAAAAAAAAAAGAGAGAGAGACATCGTTGTGTTTGTCATCATCATAAACATTTTTCATCCTCAGCATTAAACTCTCTACCATGCATTTCATTAGACAAAAGCTGCTCATTGCAGCTAACACACTGTAGTTATTTGCAATTGTGAAAATATACTTTAACTTATAAAAGCTTTTTAAATTCAAGAATAACCTGAAAACAAATACGTTTCTCTTCTTATTTTTGCAGTGCAACAGGCATTTCTAATGTTTTTGAACTTTTAGAGAAAACTGATGTTTTTAATGATGTTCAGAAAAGGCAAAACAAGTCTAATATATGACCCTAGTAGTAAGTTTATTTTTTAATAACTTCAGTGAAAAAGGCAGGAGTTTTTGCACAAGTCCAATGGAGTTGGTAATAGCTTAACTCTAGCATATGCTAATTGATGTAATCGCTTTATTGCACACATTCTTTTGCACACAGCCAGCAATACATCTATATTCTCAATAGGAAAAAAAAATTCCTTTCCTGGTTGTCAGGATGAGTTTACTTCGTTTGTTAATCATAATATCTCTAAGTGATTAACAGTTCTTCATGTTTTACCTATTTCAGTTTCCCAGCTGAAATATATTTCATTGTGTTTAATTACACATGTGGCCATAACATCCCATGATGCTACTTTGGGTGTGTTAACACAATCATAATCACAGGCTGCTGGCTTATGAACAGGGAGATTAAATTAATTCATTTCAAGGCAAGCATATTATAGTTACCTAATTTAAACACTTATAGAACAATTAGAAACCATCTGATTTGCCTTCTTATTATTTTATGGCTCACCAAGTTTTTGGTCATTATTTAGACTTTGTTTTATTTAATCTGAATCAGAAAAGAAGATGATTCTTTCCTTAAATGTGAGGCAAAAGAATGTTGAAGCAATTTCATAATCTCATACCTCATTTCTTTAAGCAAATCATTAGGAAATTTCATGGAATGACTTTGTTTTGCTTCTGAAATGTTCCTCATTATACATAAATAAAGAATCTTTAGCACCTGTATTTGTTTAAATTAAATCAGGTTATTATTCACACTCAGTTAAAGGTGATGAAAAGCAGTGCCAAAAACAGATAAAAATGCCACATCGAAGGTCTTTCATGAGGCAAAATACAGAGACTGGAGACTTGGCTAAATCTTTTGCCATTCACTGGCAGTAAGGAATCTCCTCCTTTCCTTTTATCCACAACTTGATGGAGAAGGAAACATTATTTCTAAACCATCTGTAGTGGCTAAGTTCAGTGGGCTACCTGCTGTTATTTTGTTCTATCCTCCATTTAATTCCTTAGTTCCTTTTATTTTACAATGACAAAAAATTGCAGTGTAGTTTCTTTTGAAAAACGGTATTTGAGGGTCTTTTTTTTTTTTTTATGACTGGCAATCAACAGCCATGTAATTGCTTTGTTATGTTTTACTAAAGAAGTCTGTTAAGTAGCACAACTTTGATACACTAGTATTAAGAGTTTGCAGGTTACAGAGACACCTGTGGTGACCAAAGCGACAGAAGCTGCTTATTAGAAAGAGCTAGTACAGCTGTGTCCTATTAACTCCTTATGACACTTTTTTAAAAACACTAAATAAAGGTCTTGTTTAAGGCTTTAGAGTTATTTCTCAATGAACTGCAGGACTGACTTAAGTATGGTAGGATATTTCAGTTGCATTTTGAATTAAGAAACCGTAATGAAAATTTGTAAGAGGTAATATTAAAGATAAAATATGAACATCTAGGAATTCAATTTAATGAACATTTATAGAAACCACAAATGGGGCAATAGGGGAATGGCATGATTTCTAGAATTTAAGATACTTGCCATCCTTATTCAAAATGTATTAATAGTTCTGTCCATATTACAAATTTAAAAGATATTATATTTCTCTATATTAAAGTAACAAAATATATGAGTACTGGGTTTAATACCTGGTTGATGAAATAATCTGTACAACAAACACCCATGACACCAATTTACCTATGTAACAAACATAAAATTTTTTTAAAAATTAAAAAATTAAAAAGCAAGTAATACAAAAATAAATAAAGTAACAAAATTACATAGCTACTTTTGATCCATTGTTATTCCTGTTAAGGCAAATTGGAAAATACACATTTTATAAAGACAAGGTGAAAATTCATTAGAATGACATTCCCCAAAAGAGGATTGACTTTGACATATGAAACTGTAAGATAATTAATTAGGCTGGTTTATTGCTCAAAAAAAGGTTTTAGTTTAACCACAATTTTCTTGCCACTGATCATATCATAGATTCATCTAAATAAAATTGTCTAATTGTGTTTCCTACTGTATTATCTTTCTTGAATTTTTACAACACATTTATCCAGAGATGTTTAATCATGAAAACTGATTGCATCACTCATTAGATGCTTCTAACTTTGAGTAACAAAACCTCAAGCTTTTACTCTCAGTTCAGTAGATGACTGCTTGCACTAATATTTGTTGATCCATAGACTACATATCAGAAGGTGTTATGCCATCATTTGCAAGCTGAAATGGGGACATATTAATATATGGAAATACAGAAGAGATTTCTAGGCATCACAAGTAAGATTGTTGTTGTGAGCTTACTTTTAACTGTGAATTCTTTATGATAGACGTAACTTTGGAAATAAATTCCTAGTTAATAGCTTCCCTGGTCCCATATCTGGTTAACCTAGTTCAGACTGGTCATAAAAATTTAGAGAGTCCTGGACCTGTAAGCTATTTGGATGTTTTCTTAGTGGTTTCCTAGAACTATCACCTGATGTTATAGCTGTGGATGTTGATATCCAAGATGGGAAGAGACTTGCCAAGCAAATATACTTTCACTTAAGGATTACTCTGATTAAGCCTGTAAGAGACATTAGTTCTCCAATCACAATTTAGTATGAATCCCTCATGTGTGTAAGAGATAAGTGAAGAGTATTAAACTAAGTGAATGCGTTGGTCACCAGAATATGAGTATCACTTGCTATTATAAATTAAATTTCCTGATTTCTCTAACAAACTGGAATAAAAAAAGAAACATTTCTATAGAATGTCATAACCCCTGTGATGTTGATGATTTGGAGTTTTAGTGCTCTTAAATGATTCTGATAACTTTCTTTCTTAGTTGAATACTTAGATTTTCCAGCCCACTGTGTATAAAATATGTTGGAATAATTTTTAGGTTGATCTTGAAACATGCCAAATATGAACTGAGACATGAAACTTTAACTGCAGTGATTAATGTCTGTTATCTCCCCTACTAAATTGTGATCTCCTGGAAGGTCTTATTCGTTTTATTGGTTTCAGTAAACAAGGCACTTTTTAAAGTTCTAGGAAAAAGAAATCCAATAAGCATTTAGCAAATAAATATATGCATTTAATTCCATCTAAAAATGTGGCTTATAATTTCAATATTGCATATCTAAATAGGAGGTTTTTTTCCTCCGAAAATATTGCACAATCTTCTTGGCCACCATGTCTAGTTGGATTTCAGAGCCATTCTTTCTTAAAGCAGTGGCAGGAACCCCTTGGTAGTCTTTTGAGAAGTGCTAAAGACATAATTTCTTCTTTTTTAAGAGACAGGGTCTCGTTATGTTGCCCTGGCTGGAGTGCATAATCATACTGCACTGCAGTCTGAAACTCCTGGCCTCAAGCAATCCTCCTGTCTCAGCCTTCCAAGTAGCTGGGACTACAGGTGTATGATACCACACCCTGTTCTAATTTCTTAAATATTGGTTGACCAGTGATTCTGATGGAATAGTAGGATATACCTGTAAAATAAAGAACTAAAAACAGATAGGTAATAGTAACAAGAAGATTCTGCAAATCACTTCGTATTTATGATTGGTTCCAGGACCTCCTGCAGATACCAAAATCCACAGATACTCAAGTCCCTGACAGAAAATGGCATAGTATTTGCATATAATCTATGCACATCCTCTCATCTGCTTTAAGTTGTCTCTAGATTATTTATAATACCTAATACAATCTAAGTGCTATGTAAATAGTTGTTGTATGTATTGTTTAGGTAATAATGACAAGAAAAAGGTGTACATGTTCACTACAGACAGAGTTTTTTTCTGAATATTTTCGATACTTGGCTAGTTGAATCAACAGATGCAGAACCCACAGATACAGAGGACCTGTGTTTCTTATGTTTGTACACTGAGTAAACACTTATTAAAAATTTAATATGAATCTGGAATGGTGCTATTATCTGAGAATGAAAGGTGGAATAAGACACAACCCTAACCCTCAAAACACTCATAGTCTAGTAGGCAAGACAGACATAAGAGCTAATATATAATATGAAGTATGTACAAGGTACTTTAAGAGTGTAGATGAACTTCGTAGTGAGTTGCTGTGCCCAAGGGGGTCAGAAAGGGACTTGAAAGGGATGACTCACAGAAAGATGAAGTTAGAACTTTATTTAGAGATTTTTGTGTTACTGTAGTAGCATTCCTAGTCTTTTGGGTTGCAGATTTTGCTATTCTTTACAAAAGGGTATTGGTGTTTAAAATCTCATAATTAAGTATGGGTATCAAAGGGTCAGTGGTTGAAATAATTAAGGAGAGAAAAAATACAGGGAGCTGGCCAGCTAACATAATCCTATATAGTCTGAACCAGATTGAAGATTAAAGTCAACCAGACAGCATGGACATATCCAAAGAAGTTGTTTCATTAATGATTCATCCTAGCATTGACATATGTCTACAGGCAGGATGTGAAGCAGGGATTAGATATTCTTTTGGATATGTAACATATAGAAAACCATCATAGATTTAACTAATAAAATAAAAATATTGTTAGTACAATGTATTCTTAATGAATGAGTGCTTAGCTGTGAAAGATTAATTGCTTAAAATTCAGGACAGGTATCACTTCCAGGAAGCCTTGCCTCCTCCTCTTGCCTCAGTTAGGGTTAATATGCATATTCTGTATGC